GAGACAAGAAATATTAGAACAAAATTAAAAGGTTGGAAAACAGAAAAATATGTAAGATGTCTGATATAAAAAAATACCTGAGGCTTGGAAAACATGAGAGGGAGGGATAATTTATGAATCATCAGGCTCTTGGAAAGCCATGATTTTTTTAAAAAAACCTGTAAAATATATTTCAAGAAATATGAGAACAGCCAAAATCTGTTAGTAGCTAGGAAAAAGGTGAAAATGGAAGGAATCCACCTCCTGAAAGAAGCTCTGAAAGGAAAAGTCCCAGGAATGTACTGATCACAATCCAGAGGAAAAAAAATACTCCAAGAAGCAAGAAAGGATTTTAGGAATGAAGGAAGCACAGCCAGGATTATATAAGACCTGGGGGCTTCCACTGTAAAGAAGAGGAATCTTGAAATACAACATCCCAAAACCCTAAAAAGTAGGCTTATCACCAAGATTAACTTACTTTGCAAAGTTGCATTATATCATAATGAGGTAGAGTGAAGGTGGGAAATGGACCTGTAATAGAAGAGGACTTTTAAACACATCTAGTGAAAAGACCAAAGCTGAATAGGAAATTTGAAATACAAACACAGAAGTCAAGAGAAACCTAGAAAAGTAAATTTGTTTGTGTAATTGGTAAAGACCGTATGATATAAAGTGCTAACATTCTAAAAGATGGAAGAAGAAAAAAAAAGTCCCTTTAGAACTTTAATGCCTTCAAAGGGTATTGAAGGAATTAAATTTTTTTAAAAACAGGATGGATTGTTTCTTTTCTGAGGATTAAAGACAGAGAAAGTGAGGGAGGGTAAAAGGAATATACTGTTGTAGAAAGGAGGAAAGGAATAAAATTTACTACTTGCCACAATTGAGATGCATGAGAAAAAGAGTATATAAACATCCAGGAAGGAGTTGGGGAATAATTATTAGATAAATCTCATTCTTATATGAACCAGAAAAAAGAGTTGAACATATACCAAGGGGTTTGGTATAGAACTACATCCGACTCAAGAAGGTAACAGGCAGCAAAGGAGGGGATGGCTAAATAGTTGCAAGAAAAATAAACTTCCTGTTTTCGAAGGGGGGAAGATTCAAAGGGGAAAAAAAGAAAACCAAGGAACTGGAAACTAAGGGGTATCCATAACATGGGGTATAGCTAAAGAAATTGTGTTACATGAATGTGATGGAACATTATTGCACTATGAGAAATTATGAAAGATAAAATTTCTGAGAACCCCAGAAAATAGGAAGTGCGAAGTCCACAGTGAAGTGGATAGAGCTAGAAGAATATACTATGACAGCAATGTTGTGGAGAAGAATAACTTTGAAAGGCCAGAGAACTCTGATCAAAGCTCAGACCAACCACCTTCTGACAGAGAGGTGATAGACTCAAGGTGCAAAAAGAGACATAGATCTTTGGACATGGCCACTGCATGGATTTCTTTTGTTTGACTTCATTTGTTAGAAGAATTGTTTTTTATCCTGTTAATTTGGGAAAGAGAAAGTATTAAAGGGGAAAAGGGAAAAAAGGGGGCTACTGAAACATTTTTTATTCATAAGAAAGCACAAACAGGACAGTTTTGAAAGTATGGTGTTCAATTTGTTAAGTACTTTTTTAAAAACTAAGTAGTATAGTACAGAGATTTACAGTTTCATGTACAGTTCTCTTTCTGTGTTCTCCTTTGGATATGGAAATGCTCAGTTTTTTGGTGTTGAGTTCAAAATTTCAAAAAAATCAAATTAAAAAAAATCCTAAACATTTAACAAAGAAGAACCAAATAAAATGACAATGAATATAATGGGTTTAATCTTTGAGCTTTTTTGAATCTTCCTGAAGTTCCATTACTTTGGGCTTTTTTCCCCCTAATTGTAGCAGTAAGCAATATGTATGTAGTTCTGGTTAAACTGGCCTTGCTTCATATATCTTCATATAGATCTTCTATTGTATGTATTCTTTAATATTTATTATTTTATGGCACTCTAATATTCCATTTTATTAATATATCACTTATTTGACAATTTAGGTATTAGACATAAATGTTGTCAGGTCTTTGCTATTTACAAGTAAAGCAGCTATGAATATTTTATACTAATGTCTTTTTTCTTATGACATTTGATATATAAGACAAAGTTATAGCATTGTAATCACTGGATCAAAAGGTACGATCAGCTTTTTGGCTTATTGTAACATGCTTCAAAATATTTGCAACAGTCCAGGTCCCTTCTGTTGCTGATTTCTTTTTTCTATTTTTGGCATTCTAGTAGGTATAAGGTATTTCAAGGTCATCTTAATTTGTATTTCTTTCATTTTTAAAGAACTTGGGTAGCTTTTCATTCCACTGTAGTTGAATGTAAATTCTTTGATGGCATGAACTATTTTTCATTTTGTCTTTATGTTCTCAGCATATGTAGTGCCTTGTATGTAATATCTGTTCATTGAAATGATTAAACTCTAGTGGCTTCTTTTTATCTCTAGGATCAAATGACTCCAGTCTACATTTCTAAGCTTACCATAGACTACTTTTCCTCTTGTACCCTACAGTCCAACCAAATTGGACATGATATTCCTCATATATGACATTCTGTCCTTTGTTATTTCTGTACTTTTGTACAGTCTGTACCCTGTGGCTGGAATACACTCCTTCTTCACCTATGCCTCTTAGAATCCCTATTTTCCTTCAAAGCTCAAGTCAGACTACCACCTCCTATATGAGACCTTTCCTAATCCCCTTCCCTCTACTACTAGTGCTTACTTTACTTCAAATTACCTTGTATTTACTTTGTATATTAGAGTTAAGTATTTTTTTTTTTGCTTTTTGACTAGGCAGTCGGGGTTAAGTAACTTGCCCAGGGTCACACAGCTAGTAAGTGTCAAGTGTCTGAGGTCAATTTGAACTCAGGTCCTCCTGAGTCCAGCACTGGTACCAGCTCTATCCTCTGTGCCACTTAGCTGCCCCATTTTTAATTTTAATTTTAATTTTAATTTATTACTATTTTTTTTGGTGAGGCAATTGGGATTAAGTGACTTGCCCAGAGTCACCCAGCTAGTAAGTGTTATGTGTGTGAGGCCAGATTTGAACTCAGGTCCTCCTGATTCCAGGGGCCAGTGCTCTATCCACTGCACCACCTAATTGCCTCTAGAGTTGTTAAGTCTTTAAAATTTGTTTTCCTCTACAATGTAGTCATTGTACACATTTTTCTTCTGGTTCTGCACTCCTCACTATATCTCAGTACCTATAACTCCTGCAAGGATTCTCTGAGTTCATCCACTTTTTCATTTCTCATGGTTCATTATAATAATATTCAGTAATTTGTTTAGCCATTACCCATTTGATGGGCATTCCCTTGGTTTTCACTTCTTTGCTTCAACAAAAACTGCTGCTATAGTAATAGAATATTATTGTACTATTAGAAGTAATGAGTATGATCAATTCAGGAAAAACCTGAAATTTGTAGGAATCTATACAGATTGAAATGAGTAGACCTAGGAGAACAATTTACACAATGACCACAATAATGTGAAAGAAAACAAATTTAAAAGACAGTAACAAATCAGGACTTCAGAAGTCTGAATCGTGCTTTCCAACTCCTGGAGAGAGGTTAGGAACAGAAGATGCATATATTTACAAACACGGCCAAAGTATGGATTTATTTTGTGGTGACTCTACCTGTCCTTACAAAAGAGGGCCTTTATGGGGGGGATGTTAAATAACTGAGCGATGGTGATAAGTGAAGCTGAGAAAAGAAAAGAAAGAAACAGCATCAATCAGTCATTTAAAAAAAATACACAGAAGAAAAAGTTAAGGGATACAGACAAGCAGAGCACTGTTGGAGTTACCATGTTAAATTTGAAATAGAAAAAAAAGCAAACTGGAGATGAAGGTTTTCATAACGTTCCTTTTTATTTCTGTTCTTTGTATGGGAAATATTCATGTTTGATGTTTGTCAAGTTCATAATCAGAAAAAAGAAAAAATTCAAGATAAGGATTTTTAACACTTGAAAAATGTCTAATTGCTCTAAAGAATGTGTTTTATTAGTATTTCTCAACTGATGAGTGGAACATTGCGTGTATTGTCAGTCTTTTTTGTGGTATTGGTTGGTTCTGCTGATTTTTTTTCTTTTTTTTGGTCTTTTAAAAAGTTCTTTTTTTTTAGGGTATGGCTCTTGGTGGGTAAGAAGGATGATACAGGGGGAAATTTAGTTTTTGTAAAAGCAAAAAATATCAATAAAATTTATTTTAAAAAATAATACCCAGGGAGAAAAAAAAGTACACAGCAGAGAACAAAAGAAAACTTAAAAAGAAGCACAGAAAAGCAAGGTAGTTTTGAAAACAATATGCAGTATTTATTACATAGTTTTTCACACACAAAAAAGTAAATAGTCTGAAATGGGAATTTTTTATTTAATCTCATTATGTTGTGCTATGTACATGGAAATGTTCTTTTTAGTTTTTGTCTTTTAAGTTTAAAATGAATAAAAAGAATACCTTCTTAACCTCTTGCTCCATTATGAAGGCTGAATAGATTTTATAGTAAGTGGTATTGAACGAAATGGCCCAGAGCAAAATGCATTCCTGCTTGTATCTCTTTTGTCATTTATAGTATCCACTATTTCAAGCTGTTTTTGTTGTTGCTGTTGTTCTTACTGCTTCACTGTCTTTTTTAAACATTTGGAGAAAATATGGGTTGGCAGGGAAACTGGTACTCCTACACAGGCACTTCACATTGAACTCAATGGGAGCATATCAACCTATCTTTCAATTATTTGCACTTTTCTAATGGTCTTAAGGGGGAGTTTGAGGATGGAATAGAGATGCCAGGAAGGACAACTATGGTACCCCTACAGATGTCCCAGTTATGGTCATCCTTAAGTAGAGAAAGTTGTTCATCTTTTTTTTAGAGTATCAGTTGTTTGAGGATGCAATTAATGCTTTGTCACCAGGTGATGGACCCAAGACTGAAGACTCAGGCACTCTTATTTCCATTTCTCCTTGTTTCTCCTTTCCTAAGATTTCCTGATTTCTACCAGAGAGGAAGGTCTGTGACTCCATTATCCCCTTCTACAAGCAGTCTCCTGAGGTCTGGAACCTGTATTCCTGGCAAAATCTTTAGGAAGGAAACCTTTTGAAATCACCTTGTAATCCTTCTGTGGTACAAATTATTTTTTGTATTCTATAGTGCAAAAATGCTTTTCTCTAGTATATAAACTACGTATGGTTTATCTTATTGGTATTTTTTAGGTATTGGATTAAATAAAGTAGGGCACATAGTTTCTTGATATAAAAAAGGGTATAGTAAGGAGGATATGCTAAAAGTTCTCTTCTAGCTCCACTGGGTACCCAGAGGTAGGTTTAAATTGCCTACTGTTCCTCACAGCATCTAGTATAACATTCAGTCCACCAGTATTTGAACACATCCTATACAACAGGCATTGTGCTTAAATTGGGATTACGTTGCTTTGCTCTGAATGAGAAAGGCTGTGGGTTCTCCCCTCAAAGGACAGGTTTCTGTGTATTGACCAATTGAAATGGATAAAGGCATTTTTGGTCACCATAGATATGCCTACATTGAGCAGTATCGTTGTTGCTTGATTTGTGCAGCCATTCTTTACAGGTGAGATTGTTCATTTTATTTTATTATTATTATTACTATTTTTTAGGCAGTTGGGGTTAAGTGACTTGCCCAGGGTCACACAGCTAGGAAGTGTCAAGTGTTTGGTCTGAGGCCACATTTGAACTCAGGTCCCCCTGACTTCAAGGCTGGCACTCTATCCACTGCACCACCTAGCTGCCCCCTAGATTGTTCATTTTATTGCTTTACTAAGTTCCTTCTATCATTTTAGTAGCAGTATTAGTTTAGTTGCGGTATCAGTTAAGTCCTTTATAGATAGCTTTAGTTGATTAAGTTAAATCAAAATTTTAGTTCCAGTAAAGATCACTGATAGGACAAAATGTTCTTGTCACAGCCTCTGCCAAATTGAGGACCTAAGTCTATTGGTCTTGGGTCTTTCATTGTTCTCTTGGTCATAATAATAGTTTATTTTTATATATCATTTAATGATTTCAAAACTCTTTTTATAATTTTATTAATACAAGTAAATTATATGAGCTACATACTGTTCTCATTTCAGAAAGTTTGAATGATTTACTCAATCATACAGCTCTCTAGATCAATGAAACCTTTTTTTTAAAAATACACAGTGATATAAATTCTATATATAATACTATATGATATGAATATAGTGACTTATGAATTTGAGAAGCCATAGCACAGAGAAATTATCCTTTTTCAAGGTCATAAAGTAAGTAATGACAAGACTGGAATGTTTAGAATCCTCACCCACACTTTGAAAACACCATTGCATCAATGGCATTGAAGCAATATAGATGTTTGTGAATTGAGCTGGCCAATCTCGTGAACATTACCTGTTATTTGAAGCAAAAGTGTTATTTGAAGCAAAAGTATTATTTGGGGAAGTACTATCCCCTGCACCGATCACTCTTCCAGTACTGGAAGGAGTGAGCAACAAAGGGTATGTGCTAACTATTGGCAGTTTAACTGCTTACTTTAAAAAAGTAAACAGTGAAACTTTTCCTGAAGTGGATTTAATGTAATGATCAACATTTTACCAGTAAGCAAATGGACTTTTCAGTGCAAAATTCTTTCTCTTGTTCTTCCTACTCCCAAACGGAATGAAATGAGTCCTCCTTTTAGAGAGTTCTTGGAGTGGGCTCTTTTAAGAGAGCAGAGGGTAAGGTGGCCTCAGAAGTGGTAGTGAAATACCTAAGTGTTTGATGAGAGCTGAGCTAATTAGGCTTGGACCTTTGACTCAGGGACTCTGATTTCAAGAACCATTTTTTGGATTCTGTCCATTGTTGTTTTTGAGGACTCTTTGTACTGAAATGTCAAGTATTTTAAGGAATTCTAACTTCCTTTTCCTTGTGAGTATTTTCTTTTGCAAATCTAATACACTTTCTAAATTTTGTAATTTTTCTAGTCTCCTATTGCACGTTTTCCTTGCTCTGAAAAAAATTAAAAGTATCTAATTGTACAAATTGTGCTATCTGTTTACTGGAAGAACTAGGCACATCAATTGACCCAAAAATATTATAATTCTACTTGGAAGCAGAAATTTTCATCCTACTTTCTATTTTCTTTTATTTATTATGGATTTTTAAAATGTATTGTCTCCATTTAACCAGCTTGGTCCTTTGAAGTATTCTTAAATCCCAGGCCTTCTAGTGTTAAGGACATTGTTTTCAAACTGCGTTTTGTAATGTTATGGAAAGTGGCAAAGGTGTATTTCTACGCTAAATTTTACAGCAAACCAATCACTTGAGGTGTAGCAATTACTCATCATTATTGATTATCAAAAGCAGCACCAACTGCACAAAAAATATATTACTTAACAACCGAAATTTTGTTTTGGCCTTAAATGAAATCCCAGAAAAAAGATAGTGTCAATTTATAGTAGCTTGCGGTTCTTTGACAAAACTGCAGACTTTATGAAAAGACTTCTGGGAGAAAAACCATCACACACTTGTTTTGTTCATAGCAATTTAAACACAATAGTTGGATATTCAAGTTTCAATTGAAAGAGCTCTGTTTTAGAGGATTATGGATGTAAATGAGAACATAAATAATAATAATAATAATAATAACAATGCTTTTAGTCTTATGCCACCAAGCTTTTTACAGGTTCTTCAACTAATAAGAGTCTAGTTTCTTTTTTTTTTGTATTTTTTTTTTAACATTGATCATTTGAGATGAGGTGAAATCCTGTCAGGCTTAATCTCTGGGCTGCTAACTTGAGTTAAGCTTCAGCACTAACTTGTGTGGAACACTACTCACAAAGGGTCATCATATTGATGCTAAATTGTTTCCTTCTAATGGGGACTAGTCTTAGCTCTTTCAGTAGGTACTATGTATCTTTTGCATTTCTTTGTGTCCCTGGTACTTAGCACAGTGCTTGGCATATAGTATGTGCTTAATCAACGTTTATTGATAAACTTGTCAGTAGTAGCAGTGCTAAAGACTTTTTTAGCCAGTTTCTTCTGTCAGGCAAGATTTCTATGCAGCAGATACTGATTTTCTTAATATGCAGGTTCCTGGTATCTGGAGCAGAAAGTATTCAAAACTGTTTACAACACTCCTTTCTTCTTTTCTTGGTGCCTTCTCTATGCCTTCAGATATGAAGAGATCTTTGTCATCTTGAAGAAAATCTTTACTAGGGACAGCTAGGTGTCGCAGTGGATAGAGCTCCAGCCTTGGAATCAGGAGGACCTGAGTTAAAATGTGACCTCAGACACTTGACACTTACAAGCTGTGTGACTCTGGGCAAGTCACTTAACCCCCCAACTGCCTCAATGCGGGCGGGGGGGGGGGATGCTGAAGAAAACCTTTACTTGATGTTCTTGTTCCCCTCTGACTTCTGCCATATTTATCTCTTTACTTTCACTGTGAAGTTAGAATCAGTGGTCTGCACCCATTTTTCCTCTTCAATCCTGCCTACTGTGCTTTAGCACCTTTAGTCCTGAGACTTCTCGCTAAGAGCTCTCATACACTCCCATGGCTTTCTCTATCATCTCAGTGCAGAAGACTCTCAAATTTAGCCCTCAGGAGCTTCCTTCTAAACTCAAATTTTATATCTCTTCAGGAATTAACCAAAGGATAATAGATTACTAAATGAAAAGATACCAACCACTACAAAAATTATTTGTAATGCAGACACTTTAAAATCCAGTGCAGAAGGAGAGAGTAACACTAACAACTGCAGAGACTCAAAGAGGGGAAAATGGATTTTCTGCAAGGATTACATGAATACTTAGAAATGAAGCAAGAAGTAAAAGCCCTGGAGGAAAGAATGGAAGGAGAATAAATACACACAGTTCTCCTGTTATGTAACTTCACATTGCACAAATTTGATTTTATATAAAGAATTCTGAAAGAAATCCATATTCCAAAAAAAAAACCTATGGTAACTTTACAGTACATTACTGTACTCTCTGCTCCTTGGGCTGTGAACTCTCACCCCCCCATCCCCACCCCACCCCCCAAAAAAAGCTTTAAAAAAACAACCTCCAGGTATGTGGAGAGATCACCCAGATAGGGGGCGTGGCTTGAGACCTCTAACTGGGGAGAGAAAACCTTTGCCCAGCCCCACCCACTCTCCCACATGTTGACCCCATGTATCTATCTTCTGTCCTCCATGCTTGGGTTGCATGTCTGTCCCTGGTCCCTGAGTTTCACCTGTCCTCTCCTGTCTCTGTCCATGTCTGGACCCTCCATGTCAGCCCTCTGTGTGTTCTTCCTCTCCGTTCTAGCCAGGCCTCCATGTGGTTGGCCCAGGCCATAACTGTTCCTTCTCCTGCTCTTTCTTCTCTGTCCTCAACCCCTACATGTCCTTCAACTGTATGCCTATTCCCCTCTCTCCACAGACATCCTGCCCCTTCCTGGCTCCCTTCTTCTCTCCCTTCCCTGCATATGTGGAAGGATCCACTTTTGTAAAGTGCAAACTGTCTGTAGGTTAGAAGAGCAAGTGATAAACCTGACCCAAGTAACAGACTCCCAGGAAATTAGGATAAACCAAACATAAATCAACTCCAGGAGACAGCATGAAATATTAGAACAAAATAAAAATATTGAAAATATTAGATATTTAATATAAAAAACCTGAAACTTGGAAAACATGTCAAAGAGAAGTAATTTATAAATCATCTGAGTTTTTGAAAACTATAATTTTTTTTAAAGTCCTAGAATGATATTTCAAGAAATCATAGATGAATTCAACCATAGTTGGGGCAAATGAGGAAAAGAATGTACAAATATGAAAGTGGGGGGGGAACCAACATCTGACCTCACAAGACAAAGGAGGGTTGAACACACACACACACACACACACACACACACACACACACACACACAGAGTTTGGTGAAGAAATACATCTAACTCAATAGGAAGATAAACCAGTAGAGATAGGAACAGTTAAAAAGAGAAGATACTAATGGAGAGAGAATAGTACTAGGTAAAACAGACTTCTTAAGCTTCTTCAGAGGGAAGGAGGATTTAAAGGAGGATTAAAAGAAGGAGGGGAAGCAAATAACTGAATTCTAAGTTGTCCATCAGTTGGGTAATGGGTGAATAAATGGTGATTTATAATGTGACAGAATATTATTATACCATAAGAAATTATAAAAGAGACTTTCAGAAAACCCTAGAATGTAGAAAATGATGTAGAGTGAAAGGAATAGAAGTGGGAGAACAATTTATATGATGACCACAACATTATACAGAAAAACAGCTTTGAAAGGCTAGAGAGAGAACTCTGATCACAACTGACCTGCAAAGAACCTTTGATGAAGCATATTACCTACCTTCTGACAGAGGGAATGGACTGAAGTTCCAGAAAGAAACATGCATTTTTGGACATGGCCACTGTGGATTTGTATGATTTCTTCAGTTTTTAATTGCCAGAAGGGAGAACAGTTGCCAATAGTGATTTTTCAAAGCACGTTTTAAGAAATGTACAAATAACTTTGGGACAGTTGCGCAATACAAAATAAAACTACATAAATCATTAGTATTTCTCTATGTTACCATCAAAACCTAGCAGGAAGAGATAGAAGAAAAATTCTATTTAAAACAACTACAGAATATATAAAAATATTTGGGAGTCTACCTACCAGGACATTCATAGGAACAACATGAATACAGTTACAAAATGTTCTACACATATAAAGACAGGATAAAATATTGGCAAAATAGTAATTTCTCATGGGTAGGCTAATCCAACATAGTAAAAATAACAGTTTAATTTATTTGTTTGGTGCCATACCAAACTCCCCAGGGGTTACATTATAGAACTGAAAAAAATAATACCAGAATTCATTCTAGAGTAACAAAAGGTCAAGGTTCCCAAGAGAAATAGAGGGGAAAAAAAGTGGGAAGAAAAGGGGCTTAGCAATACCAGATTTCAAAATCTCCTACAAAGGAGTAATCATTAAAATGATTTGGTACTAGTTAACAAATAGTGAAATAGTATAGGCACACACACAGAGGAAACTAACACACACAATAGCCTAGTGTTTGACAGACACAAAGACCCCAGCTATGGGATAAGAATTTACTATTCAACAGAAACTGTTGGGAAAACTGGAAAGCAGTCTGGCAGAAACTAGGCATAGATCATTGTCTCCCACCCTACCAAGATGAGCTCCAAATGAGTATGTTGCTTAAATATAAGAAGTGATATCATAAACAAATTAGAGGAGCAAGAGAAAAGTTACTTTTCACATCTATAAATGTGTCAAAGGGAAGAGTTCTTGACTGAGCAAGTGATGGAGAAGATCACTGAACAGATAAACTGAACAGTTTTGGTTATATTAAATGGTTTTGGACAAAAAACTAATACAGCTAAAATTAGGAAGGAAGCAGATAATGAAGGGGAAAAATCTTTGCAGAAAGTTTCTCTGATAAAGGTCTCCCAAGATCTTTAAGAAAATGATTCAAATTTATAAGAATTAAGAGCCATTTCTCCAGTTGATTTATGGTCAAATGATTTGAACAGGCAATTTTTTTTCTTTTTTTTGCTTTTTTGGTGAGGCAGTCGGGTTTAAGTGACTTGCCCAGGGTCACACAGCTAGAACAGGAAATTTTTAAAGGAAAAAATACAGGCTATAGATAGCTGTATGAAAAAAGATCCCATATCACTAATAGAGAAATATAAATTAAAGCAACTGAGGTTCTACCTCACACAATGTTGGAGAAGCTGTGGGAATGGATATAAGTATGCATTGTTGGTGAAGCTGTGAGTTGGTCCAGCCATTCTGAAAAGCAATTTGTAAATATGCCCCAGAAGTTACTAAACTGTGCATAACCCCTGAATTAGTAATGCCACTGTTAGGCCTATTCCCTAAAGAGTTCGAAGAAAGAGGAATAGAAACAGTAGGTACAAAAATATTAATAGCAACTTTTTTTTTTCTGTTGACAAAGGGATGGAAAGTAAGGGGATTCCCATCAGTTAAGGATGACTGACCAAATCATGGTATATGAATGTAATAGAATACTATTGTACTGTAAGAAATTATGAATTACTAATAGTGATGGAGGATCAAAAAATACACAAAGTTTGGTGAAGAAATACATAAAATTCAATAGGAAAATAAGCAAAGATGGGGATAAGAATGGTTAAGAAGGTAGAGGAAATAGAGAAACCTGGAAAAATTTGTATGAACTAATGCAGAGTGAAATGAACAGACAGGTCCAGGAAAACAATTTGTACTATACCAACAACACTGTAAAAATAATAACATTGTAAAGACAAACAACTTTTAAAGGCATAAGAACTCTGATAAGTGCAATAACCAACCACAATTCCAGAGGTACCATAATGAAACATACTGAGGGTGTAAATTATGAGAGATATATTTTTGGGACATGACCAGTGCAAGAATTAGTTTTGCTTGACTATGCATATTTGTTAACAAGGGTTTTATTTTGTTTTGTGTTTTTTTTTTCTGATGGTTTGGGGGATAGGTGGGAGGGAGAGAAAATAGATTTTTAGGTGAAAAAATATTTAATTTCTTTAAATTAAAAACAAATGCACAAACAGCATAGTTTTAGAAGTAACAAATGGAATTTATTATAAACTTTTCAAAAAAGCAAGCAGTGTGGAATAGAGATTCATTGTGTCACATACAGTCTTCTTTTGTGTTCTGCTGTATATATGGAAATATATAAAATTAGGTACTGGGGGAAAGTTAGATGTGATAAGGACCTGAACTAGGATTGTGGCTGTGAATGGAGAGAAGTGGTCATATATGAAAAATCTTTTGAGAACAGAAACAGTATTTGGAATTGGTCATAACAAGTTTGTGAACATAAGTGACTTGGAGGATGGTGGTGCCTTGGACAATAATAGGGAAGTTTGGATGGAAGGAGGGTTTGAGGGAAAAGAAAATGAGTTCTGTTTTGAACATGTTGTGTTTGAGATGGCTCTGGGACAGTTTGAGATGTCCAAGAGGCAGTTGGAGATTTGACATTAGAACTTAGGGGAGAAGTTAGGATTGGATATACATTTAGGAATCGTCTGCATAGAGGTAATAACTGAATTCATGATGAGATCATCAACTAAGATAGTACAAAGTTGAAAGACTAACCCAGAACAAAGCTTTGGATGACACCCATGGTTAGTGGGTGTGACCTGGATAAGAACCAGCAAAATAGACTGGGAAGCAGTGGTTGGGCAGATGAGAGGAGAACCAGAAGATAAAGCAGTCATGAAAACCTGTAGAGGAGAGAGTATCCAGGAAAAAATGGTCATCAGACGCAGCAGAAAAAGTGAAGGATGAGGATTGAGAAAAAGCTATTAAATTTGGCAATTAAGAGATCATTGGTAACTTTGGAGAGAGCAATCTCAGTCAAAGAACGATGTTGGAAACCAGATTGCACAGGGTTTAGAAGCAAGTGAGAGGACAATTACAGAATGTAAATGACTTTCTCAAGTTTATCCCCCAAAGGTAAGAGAAATTTGACATATGATAGCCAGCAGGGATGGTGGGGTCAAGGACGCATACTGCTTGCTCATGACTTCTACTTCCAAACTCTCTCAGCCATCAAAATTCATTCTATCTGCCTACATCACTGTGTTCAAATAAATTAGTTAGACCGCTGGGGACTTGAAATCAAGAAACCCTGGATTTGTATCCTGTCTCCGAAACTTCCTAGCTGGGTGCCCTTAAGCAAGTCACTTATCTTTTCTGAGAGTCATTCTCCTCTACTGTGAAAGGGGGATAAGAATAGCAACAATGTTATTGGGTAGTTGTATGGATCAAATGAGATCATGTATGTAAAACACTCTGCAAACCTTGACACTCATATGAAATGTAAGCTACTTTTATTACCTTTGTTACTGTTAATTACTGGCCATTCAGGTCATAAATTCCTATCTTTTCAGATAGTTGCTTGCTACTAGTCTTCCTTTCCACCCTCATATGTTGGGGACTTCCATAGACAACTGGTTCCCTTAAATGCCTTGGCTTCCTAGTTCATCAGCCTCCTCGGCTCCTGTGACTTAGTGTTTGTTACTCCACCTCTTTTATCCACAGAACAGTCATAATTAATCAGTGAGTATGTATTAAGTACTTTCTCTGTGCTAGGTATTGTACTAGGCACAAAGACTAAGGTGAAATAGCCTAGTCCATTAAGGAATTTACCTTCTATAGAGAGAAACTGGTAGGTGAGCCAGAATACACAGAATAGATACCTGGTAATTTCAGGAGAGAAGGAACTTGAGTTCCTTGAGTTCCTACAGTTGTAGGAACAGGGAGAGGCTTCATGGAGGAGACAGTGCTTGATTTGGGGCTTGAGAGTGACCAAGGATGCTGAGAGATGAAGATGAAGAAGAGAGACAGCCAGTGAAAAAAACAGGTGTGTCATATGTGAGGAATAGGGAGAAAGCCAGCTTGGCTGGACCAGTGAGAGTGGGAAGGGAGGTAATATATGGTAGGGCTGGAAATGTAGGTTGTGAAGGGTTTTAAATACCAATCAGTGGAATTTATATTTTATTCTAGATGTAAGAGAGAACCAACAAGAGTTGGTGGGGGAGGGTGATGATTGGTCAAACCTTTATTCCAGATCTTGTTATAACCTGTAATGTTCTACTGTTACCTCATCTACTGTTGCCAATCTGCAAGCCTAAATTATTTCCACCGTCTGCTTTTTCCAACCTACTTGAGTGCTGGTGTATGCAACTGTAGGAAGTCATGTGTCTATGCTGATGGGTCTACTTGAAATTTGTTATCTAATCTCAATTGGGTTCTCATTGCTACATGGAAATCCTTTGTTGCAAATGGCAGTGGCTTTGGACTTGGGTTCAAATCCTACTTGTGTAATTTTGGCAAATTACTCTCTCTGAGGCTGTTTGCTCATCTGTAAGATTAATAATTTGACAAGATGGCTTCTGAGGTCCCTTCTGATTCTAAATCTATGATTCTGTGACTCTATCATCCTTCTCCCCCTACCCCAAAATACACACAATGATTTATCCAAAGCTTTTTCATATCTTCTAAAAGCCCCCAAACCACTCTCTTCCCTTACTCTTACCAAAGGACCTTACATTCAACTTGACTCTACTACCCTCATCAGTGTGGTACACTATTTGTTTTCCTTTTCTCAGCCAAACTGGTAGAAGAAATTCTCTGTGCTTGTTACCTCTGCTTCATTTCTTCACTTGACACTCGTATGTCAGTCCCTTCTTATCTGGTTTTGAGCTCCATCACTTGACTTGACGCTACTCTGTCCAGGATTGATCTTCACTACTAAATTCATCGCTAGTATCGTATTGTAGAAAAAGTGCTGAATTTGGAGTCAGAAGATCTAGATTCAAGCCCCATCTCTATTACTTAAGAACAGTGTCACTTCTCAGTGCCTACGT